AGTCCCTCAAGGCCCTCTGGATCTGCCCCCATGAAGAACGCAGGGCAGCAAGATGGTTCTCCACAGCCGGAATGTCCTGTGGTGAGAACCTCTCAGGTAATACCGCGGGTTGGAACCCATAGTTGGCCATGAAAGGAGACATCCCGGAGGAGGAGTTGACCGCCGAGTTCCTGGCAAACTCTGCCCAAGGCAGAGATCGGCCCAATCGTCCTGATGGTCTGAAATATAACACCGAAGGAATTGTTCTAAGGCCTGATTGGAACGCTCCGCAGCCCCATTGGACTGCGGGTGGTAGGCTGAAGAAAAGGAGAGACTAATACCCAACTGGGAGCAGAAGGCGCGCCAGAATCTGGACACGAACTGACTCCCGCGGTCCGAGACAATCACCTTAGGCAACCCATGCAGGCGAAAAATCTCCCTGGAAAAGACCGTGGCCAGTTCTTGCGCTGTGGGTAATTTCCTGAGTGGAATGCAATGGCACATCTTGGAAAACCGATCGACGATCATGAGGATGACCGTATGACCCCGAGACACCGGGAGGTCTACAATAAAGTCCATACCTAGATGTGACCAAGGACGCTCCCCATTGGGAATGGGTTGCAGAAGACCCAAAGGGAGATGCCGTGGAGACTTATTCTGGGCACAGATCGAACATGCCGCCGCTACATAAGAGGCAATGTCGGCACGGAGGGTTGGCCACCAGAATAAGCGAGAGACGACCCAACACAGCTGGTTCTTCCCCGGATGCCCGGCAGTTTTGGCGTTATGGTAGGTACGCAGCAGGCGGGTGCGCAATCCCTCGGGTACGAAACATCTACCCTCCGGCTTCCCGGGAGGAGCATCAGTTTGAGCCGCCAAAATCTGCTCCCCAAGAGGAGAGGTCAGACTGGTGCGAATGGCAGCCAGGATCTGATCTGGAGGTATAAGTGAGATTGGCTCAGAGTCTTCCCTGGACAACTCAGAGTATTGCCGTGATAACGCATCAGCCCTGACATTCTTGGAACCAGGCAAATATGAAACCACATAGTTGAAGCGTGACAAGAACAGAGCCCATCTGGCCTGGCGGGGTGTCAATCTCTTGGCCTCCGAAAGATAAGTCAGGTTCTTGTGATCGGTAAGAATGAGGACCGGAACCGCGGAACCCTCGAGCAGGTGCCTCCACTCCTTGAGAGCCAGGATGATGACCAACAACTCCCGATCTCCAATCTGGTAGTTGCACTCTGCAGAGGAAAGCTTCCTGGAGTAGAACCCGCAGGGAAGTAGGGGTCCATCGGGCGACCGACGCTGAGACAGGAGAGCCCCTACTCCCGTCTCGGAAGCATCAACCTCGAGGACGAAGGGCAACCCAGGATTGGGATGTGAAAGAATCGGAGCCGAAGCAAAGGCGGCTTTCAGAGCCTCGAAAGCTATGATGGCCTCGGATGGCCACTCGTGAGGGTTACTCCCCTTCCTGGTTAGGTCAGAGAGAGGCTTTGCCAATGTGGAGAAGTTCCTGATGAACTTCCGATAGTAGTTGGCAAAACCCAGAAAGCGCTGAATGGGCCGAAGACCATTGGGACGAGGCCACTGCAGAACCGCAGCAACCTTCTGAGGGTCCATGGAAAATCCCTCCGCGGAAATTATGTAGCCCAAAAAGGCAACTTGGGATCGATGGAACTCGCACTTCTCGAGTTTACAAAAGAGTCCGTTCTCACGCACGCAATCGTTGCAGCACCTGCTTGACATCCTGGACATGAGACTCCATGGAGGTAGAGTAAACCAAGATGTCATCCAGGTAAACCACTACGCACTGCTGCAACAAATCACGAAGGACATCGTTTATGAATTCCTGAAAAACCGCGGGCGCATTACACAATCCGAAGGGCATCACCAGGTATTCGTAGTGCCCGGTTCTGGTGTTAAACGCGGTCTTCCACTCATCCCCCTGTCTGATCCGTACGAGGTTGTACGCCGCCCTAAGGTCGAGTTTGGTAAAGACTGTTGCTCCCTTAAGGCGGTCGAACAACTCAGAAATCAAAGGAATCGGATATGCATTTTTAATGGTAATCCGATTGAGACCCCTATAATCGATGCAGGGCCTCAATTCCCCACCTTTCTTCTTTACGAAAAAAAAACCTGCTCCTGCTGGAGAAGTAGACTTACGAATGTGCCCCCGGGAAAGCGCATCCACAACGTACTCCTCCATGGCCTTATTCTCCGCAACCGAGAGAGGGTACACCCTGCCACGCGGAGGAGTGGCCCCGGGTTGCAAGGATATGGCGCAGTCGTAAGGACGATGCGGCGGTAAGGTACCAGCGCGTACCTTATCAAACACGTCCCGGTACTCCCCATAGTCGGTGGGCAACGCAGAGTCCGAGGAGGCACACAATACCTTAACCGGCCCCCGGATGCACCCGGCCCCACACTGTGGAGACCATGAGAGAATCTCGGCTGTTTGCCAATTGAAGGTTGGATTGTGCCTCTGGAGCCAGGGATACCCCAAAACCACCGAATAGTGTGGGGAAGAAATCACCTGAAAACAGGCCAACTCCCTGTGAACAGCCCCAATGGCTACCTCTATCGGCAGAGTCTCGTGGGTAACCTGCGGCGGCTGCAGGGGCCTGCCATCTATGGCTTCGAGAACCAATGGGGTAGCGCGAGCCTGCAGGGGAATGGAGTGCTGTGCAGCAAACGAGCTGTCCAAGAACAACCCACCGGCCCCAGAGTCTACCAACGCCTGGGCCGTCACCGAGCCCTCCGTCCAAGAAAGGACCACGGTGATCAGTGGCTTATCCTTGCGGAACGCCGGGGACGAGGAAACTCCACCCAAGATCTGTCCCCGACATGATCTCAGGTGCGAGCGTTTCCCGGACGGACCGGACAAGACTGCCGAAAGTGCCCACCGAGGCCACAGTACAGGCAGCGACCCTCCCGACGCCGAGCGGCCCCCGCTCCCCCCCTCGGAAAGGCGAGCAAACCCCAGCTGCATGGGTTCCCCACCAGACAAGCTATCCCCAGGAGGCGTGGGAGGAGAGGGAGGAACGGGTGGGACAGAAAAACGCAGGTGCCAGTCGATTGGAAGGCCTCCGCAGGCGTTCCCTGAGTGAAGGCCTCTCCCTGAGCCTGGTGTCAATCAGGATCAGGAAAGAGATGAGCTCCTCCAACACCACAGGCAGTTCCTTAGCTGCAATCTCGTCCTTCAATGTGTCAGAAAGACCATGGGAAAACGCAGCCACCAGAGCCTCATTGTTCCAACCGACCTCTGCCGCCAGGGTACGAAACTCTATAGCGTACTCGGCCACGGTCCGTGAACCCTGATGCATGGTCATGAGCAGTTTGGCCGCCGAGGCGGAACGAGCCGGTACGTCGAATACCCTACGGAAGGCATCGACAAAACCGGAAAAATCTTGAATCACCGGGTCGTTCCTCTCCCATAAGGGATTTGCCCAGGCCAAGGCCTTGTCTGAGAGTAGGGAAATTAGGAACCCCACCTTTGACCTCTCAGACGGAAAGGCGTGGGGTATTAATTCAAAATAAATACCCACCTGGTTGAGGAACCCACGACACTGACTAGGCTCACCCCCAAAGCGCTGTGGAAGAGGGGCTGAACCAGTCATACCTCTGGGCGCCGCTGATGCAGCCGTCGAGGTGGTGGACGCAATAGGCGGAGAAGCTGCGGGAGAGACCACCGGAGTGACTACCGGCCTAATAGCACCAGGATCAAGGTGTGCAGTGCGTGCAAGCAGAGTTTGCAACGCCTGAGCGAATTGATCCAACAGGTGTCCTGTTGATCGAGTCTGGCGACTAGCATTGGGAGCGAAGGCGTGCCTGCACCGTCAGGGTTCATGGCACTTGTGTAATGTCAGGGCAGGGGCCGAGGAACGGACAGGCAGGCCTAACAATGTAACGCACTGGCTGACGACAACCACTACCCACAGACCGAAGTCCCTCAGGGCGCGGAGTCTAAGTCCCAGGCTGCCCTTCACCAGGGCCCCTGATGGTGGGGATGGACTTGACGCAGCCAGGAACCAGGTCGCGGCCCCCCGAGACACCTCAGCTGCGGTAATGGCCGCCGCCAATGGCGTGTAGCTGGTGGAAGAGACAAAAGAGTAGTCAGACAAGCCGGGTCAACAACAACAGGACAAAACAGTACAGGACAGCAGACGAGAATCACAGGTCACGAGCCGGGTTCAGCAACAGAGGGTCAGATCAAGGGAGAATACAAAGAATAGTCAAGTCACAAGCCGAATCAGATACCAGGAGAGTCACGAGAGTCAGAACAGAGTAATAGCAACACAAAGACACAAGACACAAGTGCAAAGAGCATGTGCGGGCCACAGGCTTATATGTCATCAGCCACACCCCTCTGGGGGATGGACCACAGAGACCTGAAGGCATAAAAGGATTCCCATCATGCACAGCAGAATCCAAGATGGATGCCAGCACATGGAGTAACATAACCTCAGGGAAAAGGTAGGACAAAGTTGGAATCCTCCTATCTGCTCAAAGCACTTTTCAGGTCCTTCATTCACCTCCCTCTCTTTTCCCTCTCCTCATTTGAAATTCACTGTATTTGTCTGTTCTCTCCAGTTTCTTTAAGAATTGCTGTGTTCTATTGGCCTCCTGGACCTGCATTAACCACTTGCCCTCCTGAGGATTTACCCCCCTTCCTGACCAGGCCTCTTTTTATTACTCGGCACTGCACTAATTCAACTGATAATTGCGCGGTCATGCAATGCTGCACCCAAAACAAAATTTACGTCCTTTTTTTCTCACAAATAGAGCTTTCTTTTGGTGGTATTTGATCGCCTGTGCGTTATTTATTTTTTTGCGGTATAAAAAAGACTGACAATTTTGAAAAAAAAAAAAAAATATTTTGGACTTTTTTTTATAAAACATGTCCAGTAAAAAAATTTAAAAATCTAATTTCGTCATAAATTTTGGCCAAAATGTATTCTGCGACATATCTTTGCTAAAAAAAAAATCCCAATACGTGTAAATTAATTGGTTTACGTGAACGTTATAGCGTTTACACTGCAGCTGTGCTCCCTGTCAGTGATTGCCTGTAATCGCCGGACCCGGCAGGTAATGACCAGCCGGGACCCGGTGATTGACACCCGAGGCCGCGATTGGCGGCGCGCGGTAGGGCAGTCGTGCGCCTCACGTGCGCCCCCTACCTGTTTTGCAGAATGACGTTTAAAAACATGATTCTGCGCAGCGGTACCGCCCTGCCACAGTATAAACACTGCGACTGGACGGCAACCAGTTAAGCTTCCTTGATTACTTCTCTGCCTGGCTGCCTTACTTTCTCTCTTCTGAAATTCCCACTGTCATTCTTGGTGACTTCAACATCAGTGTTAATCTTAACCACTTCCACTCCGGACACTTTTACAACCTTCCTGACCAGGGCAATTTTCAGCTTTCAGCGCTATCACACTTTGAATGACAATTGCGCGGTCGTGCAACACTGTACCCATATGAATTTTTTACAATTTCTTTGAGACAGATAAAACTTTATTTTGGTGGTATTTATTCATCACTGGGATTTTTTTTGCTATGTAAATGAAAATGTCCAAAAATTTTGAAAAAAAGTGTTTTTCTTAAAACATTTTGCAAATAAATAATATTTCATCATAAATCTTGGCCAAAATTTATTCCGTTATCTTTTTAGTAAAAAAAAAAATAAGCCAAATTAGTTTATAACCAAAAATTATAATTTTTAAACATTTTTATATATTTTTTTAATATTATTATTTATTTTATTTTTATTTTTTTTACATACTGTCACCCTAGCAGTACAGTGTCACCATGGTGACACTGTACTACTTTTGGGGGGTGATGAAGATTTTTTTTTTTTTTTTTTTTTACACTGATTGCTTTTAGACCCATATAGGATGTAAAAGCAATCATTTCTCTTTCTCTCTGTCTGCATTCTTGCAACCATTGAAAACTACTGAGTGAGCTGTGATTGGTCACAACTTGTCACAAGGTACAAGGCTGTTGTGAATAGCCTTGTACCATGTGACCTCTGTGATCATTCACAGATTTCACACGTAGTAAGCAATGATGTCACAAGTGACATCTTGCTTACTACTTTGCATGTGATCACTGATTGGCCAATCAGTGATCACATGATCGGGACCTCGTACAGAGGTCCCATCCGACGATCGTTTTTTTTCGCTGTGTCCGGAGGACACAGCGGGCACTGGATCGCGGTGCTGCGCGCTCCCGGGGAGTAGGGCACAAGCAGGGTGCAGGGAGGCCCGTTTATAAACGGCCACCTGACCCTGCAGTGCCACCGTCTGACCGTTTATATACAACGGCTGGTCGGGAAGTAGTTAATACTCTTGCTACCTCTAAATTTCTGAGCCAAACCACTTCTTTTGACCTAAAACAATGGACACATGCATCTACTCACTCGAATGGTAACTGCCTCGACCTTGTATTCTCCTACCTATGCACTCCTTGCAACCTCGCAACTTTCCTTTTCCTCTCTCTGATCTCTACCTTATTAGCTTAACTCTCTCCTTGCCTTCCTCATCCTTGTCTTCCAACTACCAAACAGTTACCTGTAGAAACCTTCGTTATCTTAACCCTTCTCTTCTTTTTTCGGCAACAGTATTGATGACAAAATCTCAGCCCTGTTCTGCCCCAACCTGGCCACTTCTATCTACAATAGTTCACTGTCATCCTCCCTGGACACATTGGTCCCTCTCACTACACACAGAATCAGGCCCTGACTGCTACAGCCCTGGCAAACAGACAATACCAGATGCCTCCAAAAACTTAGCCGTGCTCTTGAGCATGTATATTGTAAGACTAAGACCCAGCAAGACTTCGATCAATATAAATCTGCCCTTCAAAAATACAATTCTTGTCTCCACACTGCCAAGCAGACCTATTTTATCACTCTCATTAACACCTTCTCACGCAATCCCCACCAACTCTTTTCTACCTTTAACTCTCTACTTCGTCCTTCTTTACCTCCACCCACTATCTCACTCACTGCCCAGGAGATCACTAATCACATCAAATATAAGATTGATACAATTTGTGACGAGATCTTTACTGTACAGATATCTCCCTCACCCTACACTCCTTGTCCACCTGCACAATCTTTACTTCCTTTGTTTAACCCAGCTACTATAGAGGAGGTTGGTAAACTGTTTTCTAAAGCCCACCTAATCACCTGTCCCCTGGACCCTGTTCCCTTGCAAATACTACGGTCACCCTCTGGCTCTATCCTTCATTCTTTAACTCATATCTTCAATCTCTCCATTTCTACAGGCATCTTCCCCAACTCTATAAAAACATGCGCTAGTCACTCCCATACTTAAAAAATCTTCACTGTACCCCACCAATCTTAGCAACCTAAGACCCATCTCCTTACTTCCTTTTGCCTCTAAACTCCTTGAACGTCTAGTCTACAACTGGTTGAGCTGCCACCCTATTAAGAAAACCCTTCTTGATCCCTTTCAGTCTGGGTTTTGCCCACAACACTCCACAGAAACTGCTCTCCTAAAACTCACAAATGACTTACTAACCACTAAAACCAATGATCACTATTCTGTACTGTTGCTCTTGGACCTCTCAGCTGCCTTTGACACAGTTGACCACCCCTTCCTCCTAAAAAAACTCTATTTACTTGGTCTCCTTGACTGTACTTTCCGTTGGTTCGCATCTTACCTATCTCACCGCACTTCAGTGTCACTTACAACTCTAGTTCCTCCTCTCCTACTCCTCTTACTGTCGGGGTCCCCCAAGGTTCTGTCCTTGGACCTCTCCTATTCTCAATCTACACTTCTTCCTTGGGTCAGCTGATAGCTTCCCATGGTTTCCAATACCATTTCTATGCTGCTGACACACAAATCTATCTCGCTACTCCTCAGCTCACCCCATCAGTTTCCTCACATATCACCGATTTACTAACAGACATATCAGACTGGATGTCACACCACTTCCTTAAAGTCAATCTATCCAAAACTGAGCTCATAATATTTCCTCCCCCACATGCCTCTTCTCCTGATTTCTCTGTCAGGATCAATACCACCACTATCAACCCATCCCTGAATGCCAGGATGCTAGGTGTAACCCTGGATTCTGAACTATCCTTTCTGGCCCACATCCAATCCCTGTCCAAAGCATGCCGCCATAACCTCCGCAATATCTCCAGAATACGCCCCTTTTTAACCAATGATACCACAAAGCTCCTAATTCACTCCCTGGTTATATCTTGCCTCGACTACTGCTACTCCCTTCTCATTGGCTTATTGGCTTACCTTTACATAGGCTATCCCCCCTCCAGTCCATCATGAATACTGCTGCCAGGCTCACCCACCTTACTAACCATTCAGTGTGTGCTACCCCACTCTGCCAATCCCTCCACTGGCTCCACTTGCCCAATGAATAAAATTCAAAATACTAGCAACGACTTACAAAGCCATCAACAACTCTGCCCCCAGCTACATCACCAACCTGGTCTTAAAATATCAACCAACCCGCTCTTTTCGATCCTCCCAAGACCTTCTGCTCTCTAGTTCCTGTGTCACCTCCTCCCATGCTCGCCTCCAGGACTTCTCCCAAACTTCTCCCATCCTATGGAATTCCCTATCGCAATCTGTCCGGCTGTCTCCTAATCTATCCACCTTTAGATGATCCCTGAAAACCTTTCTCTTTAAAGAAGGCTATGCTGCTTCTACCTAGTAAACCACCATTTATTTCCTCCATCATCCCCTCACAGCTATTACCTTTTGTATCACTCAACCCTTCCTCCTAGATTGTAAGTTCTAATGAGCAGGGCCCTCTATTTCCTCTTGTACCAAGTGCTGCGCAAACTGCTGGTGCTATATAAATCCTTTATAATAATAACAATAATTGTTGCTACCTTCCTCCTGATTTAACCTCTTAAGTCCTGTACCACAACCTGGTGCACTGTAAGCAGTTGAAGCTTTGTTGTTCAGTTGACAGTACCACCCGCTGAGCACAACAATGGAAATAAACTTTGGTGGAACGTGATGCAAAGTATCCCGGGCATGGTGTATGTTCACCCCCATTCACTGCCTTTCCAGCTTAAGGCAGAGCAGCTGGGATGTGGCAGGAGCAGTAAAAATGTGGCTCAGTTACATATTTTCACCACCCCACCCAACCACAAGTATGAAGACCTAAAACATATCTAAACCCAATAACAGACAATTGATACATAGCAACTTTTAAATCTTAGTTGTAATGGCTGCATTCGTTTTTCTTTTTTTTCCCTATATTTTCACCTGGTTATCTTGCCAGTAACACACTTCCTGTCCTAGAATGAGAGTGCTTACTCACAGTACTGTAGATATGGAGTGGCAGAGTTGTCACCCTAGGACAGGACTACAGAACACCACCAATACTCTCCTCTACTCCATAACATGGGGGAGCTTAAGATAACAAAGATTTTCAATGGTTCAGTATTCAACATACCAATAGGGACAAATCAAGTTCATTGTTTACATATATTTAAGTGGACACTAATGATATTTTTTTTGTAACTGCAAAGCATCCTTGTTTTCTTTTTATTCAAAGTACACTGTCACTGACATTTCTATTTCCATATCAAATTGCATAATATAGCATCAACATGTGTTAATTTAGATTTTCCACTTGTTAAAATGTTGCACTCTAGCAGTCCCTAAAGGCAGAAACCAGCATTATGCAAATTTTGACTTTCAGAAAAACTAGCATTGAGGAAAAACTCTGCTTGCATTCCAAGTCTCAATAATACACAAATATGCTCTATGCAATTAAAAAAGGTTCTGATGCCATTATAATGAAACTGGTGATTGTGGCATGCACCACATTAACTAAGCCGATAGACCTGTTTCAAGTCTTCACTACCCATGCCAGTTTCTATATCAGAGTGAAGCAAAAAATGGTGCAGGGTCTGCTCTAAATTAACAAAGAGATAGCATTAGTTTTCAGTATAGAAAACTGTCACAGATTGCTGCCAGATCGGACCTGGCATACAAGGTATGAGCTGTCAGTAACTAATTTCCCTTTCTCACATCCCTCCAAATCTCAGGAGGTAGGGGTGGGCAAAAGAATCTGGAGCATGCAGGTCCAGATGTACTGATCTCTGTGCTGTGTCTGTCACATACCCAGCATAGAATAGAAAACTGATCACTTCTAGTTAACAAAGGTGATTACATCCCTTTTGTTAATTAGGAGCAGGATCTGTGCAGTTCCTTAAGTTTATAGAAGTTGTGCAAGCATTATCCCTGCAGAACCACTTAAATGAACAACACACACAAATGTAATCTTTCATTTATTTACTGAAAACATGGTTTAAAAATTAATGGACATATTTATATTGCATTAAATGTGGCATTCTGAAAACAATCTCTGCAAGTCAACTCTCAAGGGCTATGTGTTTTAAATGGCAGTGGCTAATTCTCTACCAGAGAATGTTGGTGAAAGTTACATTCACTGCTTTATAAATAGACCCATAACAGTCTAGACCAGACTAGAGCTTTCCTACATATTGACATTGTGAGGGTTATTTACTAAAGCTGAAGAGTGCAAAATCTGGTGCAGTTCTGTATAGAAACCAATCAGCTTCCAGGTTTTATTGCCAAAGCTTAACTGCAAGCTGGCTACCATGCACAGCTGCACCAGATTCTGAGGGCATCTGGTTTAGTAAATCTCCCCCTGTAAGTCTACACAAAGTAGACATAAACTCAAGAGTCAAAAACCTAAGTATGTGAATTTCAACTACTGGATAACTGTTTTATAATGGTCACATGTCCACACACTGTGCGTTTTATTGTCTTCAGCATGATCAGGGCAAACCCACAGTCAACTCTCACTGAAACTTTGCCTGCAAAAAGAGATACTTGTAGGCATGCTGTGCATCAGCAGGGCAGCCTATATTTCCATATTGGGAGTGTGCATGCAGAGGTAAGACCTTCACAGCAGGATTATGTGAAAGAGGATGCTAAATGTGTAAATGTATTTTTAAGGATTATATACATGTAGTGCTACCCTCTTGAGAGCCACTGGTTTTGGGTCCCTCTTTACTTCCTGC